CTATGATAGATGCTAACGGCCAAAACTATCCATCTTATTGTACAAACGGGCTAACATGAAGCTGATGGTAAAAAGCGCATCCAGTCTGTCAATCTCAAACCATAGAAAGAGTCTCAAATAAACTTAAGTTTCATACTCCATCTAGTGGAAATGGAATACCTGGCCAGGCACCGGCGTACTCCTTGCGGGCGCCTGAAAAATTTGTGTCGATATACAAGCTCACTACAATCAGAAGTGCGTGAGGAGTGCTACGCCATAATATTCTAAACAAAAGTCAACAATTGGGTGAAACTAGCAGAGGATGTCTATGATAGATGCTAACGGCCAAAACTATCCATCTTATTGTACAAAGAGTAACTTGGATCATTTGTCTACTTCCATTCACTACATCAAGGACTTCCTGCCCCCATATCCTGATGATGATAATGATGATAATGATGATAATGATGATAATGATGATAATGATGATATTTACTTCATACAACTTCATCTAGTGGAAATGGAATACCGATTCTTCCGCACCCGCAGCCGGTGGCGATGTTGGCGATGGCGCGCCAACCTGTGAAGTTTGGTAGTTAATGGTCAAAACTAGTCATCTTATTGTAGAAAGGGCAACTGGGATCATTTGCGTGTTTCCATTCACTAAGCCAAGGACTGTGATTCTAGATGTCTTGATGAATGATCACGAGTCACTCCAGATAGTCACTCCGATAAGTTTTGATAGATGGCATCTACTAAGTGATGAAGTTGATGGTAAAAAGCGCGCCCAGTCTGTCAATCTCAAACCATAGAAAGAGTCTCAAATAAACTTAAGTTTCAATGGCTACTCCTGATGATCGTTTGGAGTTCATGACACTAATTACTTTGCGAATTCCGAAGAGTCCGGAGTAGGTACTACACCGCAACATTCTAAACAAGAAAGAGTCTCAAATAAACTTAAGTTTCTTACTCCATCTAGATGAAATGGAATACCCCGCCAACGCTCGACGAAGCAGCCGTATCCTGAAACTGCTCATCCTGAAATGTTTTAGTTCAGAGTCGAAGACCAACCGCTTCCAACATGCACTTTTCCGATTTCATGTACGTGGTAAGCACTATTCATCAGAGCATAAATCATTGAAACAGAGAGAATCTTCAATTCATTTTTTTAATGCAACTTCATCTAGCTGGCGAATTTCGCTCCTGATGATCGTTTGGAGTTCATGACACTAATTACTTTTCGAATTCCGAAGAGTCCGGAGTAGGTACTACACCGCAACATTCTAGACAACAGTCGAAGATGCAAACTATGATCATACAATACTTCTTGGCTTGATAGTAATGAAATCTACGCACATTGTAAAAAGTGATGGCAATAGAGTCTATCCGCTCTCCAATGATAGAACAAAGAGTCTTAAATATATTTCATGCTCCATCTATTGGAAATCGAATACCCATGCCACTGGCGCCTCACTACAATCAGAAGTGCGTGAGAAGAACTACGCCATCATATTCTAAACGAAAGTCAACAATTGCTTGAAACTAGCAGAGGATGTCTATGATAGATGCTAACGGCCAAAACTATCCATCTTATTGTACAAACGGGCTAGAATGAAGCTGATGGTAAAAAGCGCATCCAGTCTGTCAATCTCAAACCATAGAAAGAGTCTCAAATAAACTTAAGTTTCATACTCCATCTAGTGGAAATGGAATACCTGGCCAGGCACCGGCGTACTCCTTGCGGGCGCCTGAAAAATTTGTGTCGATATACAAGCTCACTACAATCAGAAGTGCGTGAGGAGTGCTACGCCATAATATTCTAAACAAAAGTCAACAATTGGGTGAAACTAGCAGAGGATGTCTATGATAGATGCTAACGGCCAAAACTATTCATCATATTGCACAAACGGTCAAAACTAGTCGTCTTATTGTACAAAGGGTAACGGGAATCATTTGTGTGCTTCTATTCACTACATCAAGGATTGTGATTCTAGGGGCCTTGATGAATGATCACGAGTCACGCCAGTCGTTCATTCCAATAAGTTTCAGTTTTTGAGGTACCACAGCAGGCGATTCTGATGCTGCCTTCCTTGCTGCATTTGCTTCGTCGATTTCCTTCAGTAACTGATAGTGGTCGTTTGGAGTTTATAACAACAATTACTTTAAGAATTCCGAAGAGTCCGGAGTAAGTACTACACCGCAACATTCATTCTAGACAACAGTCGAAGATGCAAACTATGCGCATACTTCTTGGTTTGATAGATGAGATCTACGTGGTGAAGTTGACGGTAAAAAGCGGATCCAGTCTGTCAATCATAAATCATAGAAAGAGTCTTAACTTCGTGCTCCATTTAGTGGAAATGGAATACCACAGAGCCTTCTCCGCTTGTGCGACTTCCTCCTAGCCTATGCCCGCCCTGAAAATTTTATAGTAAAATGCAATTTCGGACTAGTCATCTCATTGTAGAAAAAGTAACTTGGATCATTTGTCTACTTCCAGTCATATCAAGGATTGTACTACATAAAGCATTTTTTACTCCCTGACTTCCTGCCCCCATGTTCTGTAAGTCAAGTCCTATCGAGTCACGAGCAGCAGATCTGTGAAAGAGTTGCAGGGCATCGGTGAGATTGATGTAATCCGTGAGATTCAGGTAGGCCGTAGCGAGTACAGTCTTGCGTAAGACCGTTTTGCGCATCTTGCCTGTCATCTTTGTCGTCGTAGATAGTAGTTCGATACTAGTTAGATACTAGTTAAGTAGATACTCCTACTTCTGTGTCTTTTGTAAGAACGTCTCAGACTACAAGATACTAGTCTTCTACTGTTCTGTCTACCTTGTCGTCTTAGATACTCGTGAGGTGTGTCTCTTACGGACACTAAGATCTTTAAGAAATTCTGCCTACTCCGAGAAGTCCTATTTCTTCTATCGTCCTTTTTCTCCCTCTCAAACAATCTGGCGATAAACTATATCAATCAAGTTGTTCTATTAACCCCTTTCGTTAATCAATTGATACCAACTCCCTATCAAATTGATCTATTCGCTCCCTTCTGAAGTAGCACTTATTCAACCCGTTGAAACCAGAAGTACAACAGTGTCTCTGTATAGCTACAATTTTTACGTTGAAAAGTACGTTGATATCTGTACTTTGATCTCTATACAACTACGTTGAAGGAGTTGTGTCGCTTGAAAACGTTGTTGTGACAGTTTCTCAATAGCTGAAAAACGTCGACTCGCAAGTTGTTTTGTTTGAAAGACGAAAAATAACCCGAAGGGGAAACAATCGTACGATCGCGCAAGACTGTAGACGGAAAGTTTTGGGTTGGTCAGGATGATAATATTGACGACGACGATGATGAGAATGATGATGATGATGATGAGAATGAGGATGATGATGATGATGATTGTTAGCTTCTCAGACAGAAGTAGAGAAACGACCCTCATCACGAATGTCTCTCACAACATACCTTTTACCTCAGCACGCACAGATTACAGAATCATTCTTCCCTTACAGACCTTGTCGTTTTTAGTGCTCTTCTCACAACTACGTACCTCCTCTTCCCTCAGCACGCACAGAATAGAGATCACTTCTTTCCTCTTACAGAGGGTTTTTCAATTGTCTCAACGAAACGCTCCACGAAACAGGCATGTCACTCTTCTCACAATAACCGTCTTAACCTTAGCTAGGCTCTGCCCTCAGCACGTACACAATACAGAATCATTTCTCCTCTTACAGAGTCGCTTTTTATTAGCTGCTCTCTCTCTCTCTCGTGATGAGTCAGAGTCCATATTAAGACAAATAATACACGACACATTCCATAGTCTAGAGAGAACTCATCGATTCGTCGGATCTTGCTCAATCCATGAAAACGTGGGGATACTCTCACTTCATGAATGGCTGAGGGCTTTCTCATCTGACGAATGCCTTTCAATTTCAGTGCTTTCGGCCAAAGGCCCCATGCGGCAGCTGCGGAATGCAGTTTATCAGAATACATTTTTAGCAGTTTTTCAGCTCACGAATACATTTTTAGTAGTAGTTTTTCACTTCACGAAAACATGTAGTAATTTCTACCCAGTTCACGTTGCCTGCTCTACTTTTCGCTGCAACCAAAGCAACCTCGAGGAAGGCTACGTTCATAACAGCAGAAGCCTGGAGAAAGCATGTCAATTCGTGCCAGCTAGCTGGAGTCACGGACCTACAGAATGTTGTGTCCTTTCAACAAGAATATGCAGCTACTAGGCGGTTCATTTAAACAATAGCAATAGCAAGTTCTCGCATTTATTGCGATGACTACCGAATGACCCGGCGCATCGTTTCTCTGACTCTTATCTTCATCCCAACAGACTTTTTTTTTGCCTACTTGTTTACAACAGCCCGGACATCTACTTGCGTGACTTGAATCGGGGTTGTGGCCCGGATTTACGGATTCAAAGAGAAGACAGGGACATTTTTTCTTAGTGTGAAACCTGTTTGTACTATCATGGAGGATACGACATACGAACATTCACGACTTCAGTGAGGTCATTTTTTTTTCACATCGTCAGTCTTCTTCCTCTTAATAATGCATTCACATTCTTTGCTGAAGATATAGGCGAATAAAGATGCGAGAATTCTACTAGACGATCACTTTCATGCGATTCAATTCAATCGTTCGCTTTTTTTGTAGCGCGAGCGAGTTCCGTGAAGAACCTGCCGGCATATTTTTCTTGTGCTGAAAGTAGATGAAAAGAACAAGTTGACGAGGACATCTGTAGGCTCAATGGTAATACTTACTTTGTCGTGACACCTGCTGCTCTCTACAACTATTTGCTTCGCCTGCATTTTGTAAGTCGATCACTGCTATCACTGCGAGAGGTCCATGACTATTATCACCACTACAAAAATGCAAAGATGTCTCAAACCTTAGTCTTAGTCTTAGGTGAAGTGGCATAAAATGAGCAGAGCCCTCCAAAGTCTGTGATCAAGAGTAGGACACTATCGCGATGTTGGAGATTCATGATACGAAATATGAAAGTAAGTGGCACCAATATAGGGTAGGGTAGGGATTGGCTCGCCTCGAGGAGGTGAGCGTGCACGACTATGAATTCGCCGAAAAGTCATCCTAGTACTGGTGGAATTCTATGTAATATTTGAGTCATCCTAGTTTTCGTGGTGGAATTCTGTGCGTCTCCAATGCTCTTGGAAGAAGTCTATTTATTTCCTGCGTCCTTTGATGAAGAACTATATTTCCTCCAGTCTTAGGATGCTTGATGGATTCCCGATTGGGACAACTTGATTGATTCCCTAAATGTTGCACCAAGCACCTCCCGTCGCAGGAAAAGTGCCACAATGTTGAGCATCGCCTTCGGAGATGCAAAGAGGCTTGGCACCTTCATCTGGCCCAATATGCTCAATTTCTTCAATCACTTCTACATCGGATAAGTATGCCAACAAGATGTGACTGTAATGTTCCTCATGAAGAGGTCTCGCCCCTACGCTTTCCTTGAGGAAAATCGAAGCAGGAGGATCTATTTCAGAGAACAAGGAGACCTCCATGCTTGTCCGGTGATGTCCTATACTTTCCGACTTCTTCCGAGAGACTCTCTCAAAGCCGCTTTTCCGGTGATGTCCTATACTTGCACTTCGGTCACAACCAACTATGAATCAGTATCAACATCGTCTGTAGTTTTTGCATCATGCGAAAATCCTGTATCTTCCACCGTTCTTCCACACAGGATAGACCTGTAGCATCCTGCTCCGGCGAACGCACCCAGCCACAGAATACTAACAATAATCTACCCATTCAGGGGGTAAGTTCCGATGAGGGGGAGTGGGGGGAAGTTTGGTTGCATGGGGGAGGATTTAGTCCTTTAACTTTCTGGCTAGATTAGATGAGGGCTTCGACCTCAGTCCTGCACACCATGCGCCGGATCGGTAGAAATCACAGTGAATTCGGTCTGTTCCTCAGCAGATCCTCTGGCCAACAGGAGAATTTGAGTCCTCCTAGATCGGAGACAGGTGCTTTTCTTTCGGAGAGGTGTGCTGGTAGCTTGCCAGGCACTTTTTCTTGCGGAGTAGAACACATCCACGCCACCCACAGATAAGTCTGTACTGTTCTCGACATTTTTCCTGTAGTTACGAATCAAACCATCACCACAACCCATTCATTTGTTCGTGCACCACCACGAGAAAGGAGGTTGCAACATTATCGCACTCTTTCGAGTTATATTGCTGTAGTCCGCTGACTTCTAATTGAAAACAAGCCAAGGATCATGGTATTGGAGCTAAAGGGTGTAATAACTTAGCAACGACCACCTCCCTTAATATTTTCACAACAGAACTCCTAGAAACGGAACTCACATCACTAGAAGTCGGCTACACGAATTGGATCTGATTTGGTTTGATTCACAGGTTATTTTTCTAAATATCAAAT